GTGTGCGTGTGTGTGTGTGAGAGTGAGTGTGTGTGTGAGTGAGAGAGAGTGAGTGTGCGTGTGTGTGTGCGTGAGTGTGAGTGCGTGCGAGTGAGTGCGTGTGAGTGAGAGTGAGTGTGTGTGTGAGTGAGAGTGAGTGTGCATGTGTGTGTGAGTGAGAGAGTGTGTGTGTGCGTGAGAGTGCGTGTGAGTGAGAGTGCGTGTGAGTGAGAGTGCGTGTGAGTGAGAGTGCGTGTGAGTGAGAGTGCGTGTGAGTGAGAGTGCGTGTGAGTGAGAGTGCGTGTGAGTGAGAGTGCGTGTGAGTGAGAGTGCGTGTGAGTGAGAGTGCGTGTGAGTGAGAGTGCGTGTGAGTGAGAGTGCGTGTGAGTGAGAGTGCGTGTGAGTGAGAGTGCGTGTGAGTGAGAGTGCGTGTGAGTGAGAGTGCGTGTGAGTGAGAGTGCGTGTGAGTGAGAGTGCGTGTGAGTGAGAGTGCGTGTGAGTGAGAGTGCGTGTGAGTGAGAGTGCGTGTGAGTGAGAGTGCGTGTGAGTGAGAGTGCGTGTGAGTGAGAGTGCGTGTGAGTGAGAGTGCGTGTGAGTGAGAGTGCGTGTGAGTGAGAGTGCGTGTGAGTGAGAGTGCGTGTGAGTGAGAGTGCGTGTGAGTGAGAGTGCGTGTGAGTGAGAGTGCGTGTGAGTGAGAGTGCGTGTGAGTGAGAGTGCGTGTGAGTGAGAGTGCGTGTGAGTGAGAGTGCGTGTGAGTGAGAGTGCGTGTGAGTGAGAGTGCGTGTGAGTGAGAGTGCGTGTGAGTGAGAGTGCGTGTGAGTGAGAGTGCGTGTGAGTGAGAGTGCGTGTGAGTGAGAGTGCGTGTGAGTGAGAGTGCGTGTGAGTGAGAGTGCGTGTGAGTGAGAGTGCGTGTGAGTGAGAGTGCGTGTGAGTGAGAGTGCGTGTGAGTGAGAGTGCGTGTGAGTGAGAGTGCGTGTGAGTGAGAGTGCGTGTGAGTGAGAGTGCGTGTGAGTGAGAGTGCGTGTGAGTGAGAGTGCGTGTGAGTGAGAGTGCGTGTGAGTGAGAGTGCGTGTGAGTGAGAGTGCGTGTGAGTGAGAGTGCGTGTGAGTGAGAGTGCGTGTGAGTGAGAGTGCGTGTGAGTGAGAGTGCGTGTGAGTGAGAGTGCGTGTGAGTGAGAGTGCGTGTGAGTGAGAGTGCGTGTGAGTGAGAGTGCGTGTGAGTGAGAGTGCGTGTGAGTGAGAGTGCGTGTGAGTGAGAGTGCGTGTGAGTGAGAGTGCGTGTGAGTGAGAGTGCGTGTGAGTGAGAGTGCGTGTGAGTGAGAGTGCGTGTGAGTGAGAGTGCGTGTGAGTGAGAGTGCGTGTGAGTGAGAGTGCGTGTGAGTGAGAGTGCGTGTGAGTGAGAGTGCGTGTGAGTGAGAGTGCGTGTGAGTGAGAGTGCGTGTGAGTGAGAGTGCGTGTGAGTGAGAGTGCGTGTGAGTGAGAGTGCGTGTGAGTGAGAGTGCGTGTGAGTGAGAGTGCGTGTGAGTGAGAGTGCGTGTGAGTGAGAGTGCGTGTGAGTGAGAGTGCGTGTGAGTGAGAGTGCGTGTGAGTGAGAGTGCGTGTGAGTGAGAGTGCGTGTGAGTGAGAGTGCGTGTGAGTGAGAGTGCGTGTGAGTGAGAGTGCGTGTGAGTGAGAGTGCGTGTGAGTGAGAGTGCGTGTGAGTGAGAGTGCGTGTGAGTGAGAGTGCGTGTGAGTGAGAGTGCGTGTGAGTGAGAGTGCGTGTGAGTGAGAGTGCGTGTGAGTGAGAGTGCGTGTGAGTGAGAGTGCGTGTGAGTGAGAGTGCGTGTGAGTGAGAGTGCGTGTGAGTGAGAGTGCGTGTGAGTGAGAGTGCGTGTGAGTGAGAGTGCGTGTGAGTGAGAGTGCGTGTGAGTGAGAGTGCGTGTGAGTGAGAGTGCGTGTGAGTGAGAGTGCGTGTGAGTGAGAGTGCGTGTGAGTGAGAGTGCGTGTGAGTGAGAGTGCGTGTGAGTGAGAGTGCGTGTGAGTGAGAGTGCGTGTGAGTGAGAGTGCGTGTGAGTGAGAGTGCGTGTGAGTGAGAGTGCGTGTGAGTGAGAGTGCGTGTGAGTGAGAGTGCGTGTGAGTGAGAGTGCGTGTGAGTGAGAGTGCGTGTGAGTGAGAGTGCGTGTGAGTGAGAGTGCGTGTGAGTGAGAGTGCGTGTGAGTGAGAGTGCGTGTGAGTGAGAGTGCGTGTGAGTGAGAGTGCGTGTGAGTGAGAGTGCGTGTGAGTGAGAGTGCGTGTGAGTGAGAGTGCGTGTGAGTGAGAGTGCGTGTGAGTGAGAGTGCGTGTGAGTGAGAGTGCGTGTGAGTGAGAGTGCGTGTGAGTGAGAGTGCGTGTGAGTGAGAGTGCGTGTGAGTGAGAGTGCGTGTGAGTGAGAGTGCGTGTGAGTGAGAGTGCGTGTGAGTGAGAGTGCGTGTGAGTGAGAGTGCGTGTGAGTGAGAGTGCGTGTGAGTGAGAGTGCGTGTGAGTGAGAGTGCGTGTGAGTGAGAGTGCGTGTGAGTGAGAGTGCGTGTGAGTGAGAGTGCGTGTGAGTGAGAGTGCGTGTGAGTGAGAGTGCGTGTGAGTGAGAGTGCGTGTGAGTGAGAGTGCGTGTGAGTGAGAGTGCGTGTGAGTGAGAGTGCGTGTGAGTGAGAGTGCGTGTGAGTGAGAGTGCGTGTGAGTGAGAGTGCGTGTGAGTGAGAGTGCGTGTGAGTGAGAGTGCGTGTGAGTGAGAGTGCGTGTGAGTGAGAGTGCGTGTGAGTGAGAGTGCGTGTGAGTGAGAGTGCGTGTGAGTGAGAGTGCGTGTGAGTGAGAGTGCGTGTGAGTGAGAGTGCGTGTGAGTGAGAGTGCGTGTGAGTGAGAGTGCGTGTGAGTGAGAGTGCGTGTGAGTGAGAGTGCGTGTGAGTGAGAGTGCGTGTGAGTGAGAGTGCGTGTGAGTGAGAGTGCGTGTGAGTGAGAGTGCGTGTGAGTGAGAGTGCGTGTGAGTGAGAGTGCGTGTGAGTGAGAGTGCGTGTGTGTGTGAGTGAGAGAGTGTGTGTGTGCGTGAGAGTGCGTGTGTGTGTGTGTATGTCTGTGTGTGTGTGTGCGTGCAAGTGAGTGAGTGCGTGAGAGTGAGTGTGTGTGTGTGTGTGTGCGTGCGAGTGAGAGTGCGTGTGAGTGAGTGAGTGTGCGTGAGAGTGTGTGTGAGAGAGAGTTTGTGTGTGCGTGTGTGTGAGTGAGTGAGCGAGCGAGTGTGCGTGTGCGTGAGTGCATGTGCGTGAGAGTGTGTGTGAGAGAGAGTGTGCGTGTGTGTGAGTGAGCGAGTGTGCATGAGAGTGTGTGTGTGTGTGTGTGTGTGTGTGCGCGCGTGTGTGTTAATACAACTCTCTATGTAATAAAATATGTGTAGCATTTCATCAAATTGAAAGTACTTGAACAAACATTGGAAAAAGAGAGTAGTTTCTGTGTAAACTTAAAACTTTAATTGTAAAATGCATGCATGTGTACACTGCGGACTGCAGAGACAAAAAAAATCAGTTAGCAATTAAACAAGTTTCCTTTCTACTTTTCTATATTTGGTATTTTGTTTGATCATGTCTTCAGCTGGGTTTCTGCTGATCTTAAAAAGTATTCATTTGCATAAGGCCTTAAAAAGTCTTTATATAGTCTTCTTGGAGCACAAATTCTTCATGAAGTCATGGCATTAAATGATGCATACACTGCAAAAAAATATCTTCCCCAGTATTTTTTGTCTTGTTTTCCTGTACAAATTTCTAAACATAACTTAAATCAAGATACATTTATTTCAGATGCAAAATAAAGATTAAAGCCTTGTTCAATTTCCCAGAATTGAAGCGAGTTTGAACATTTTGAATAAGAACATATACAGTATCTATGAATAGGTTATGAAAACTTTTTTCCATTGGAATCATGTTGATTTTTCTGACCCCATTGGCAGATATTTGTTATTGTTTTAATCACTCTTCATTTTGATCGATTTCTCAGAAAACAAGACGACTTTTGTGATTTTGCTTCTCCAGTAAAGGCATCTTGGTTTAAGAATCGTTAGACGTTTGCCCTGGAAAAAAGACAAAAATACTGAGAAAGAACATTCACTTTTTTTACAGTGTGATCAAAATGGTCTTTTCTAAAATGAATAAAATTTAATGGACATCTGTTGCAAGTTGTATTTTTAAAATTTGAGGTGTTGCTGATGCAGCTCATTTAGACATTTATAGAACTTACTGTGTTCCCTTCGATTTAGTCCTTACATTTTCTTTACTTAGATATACCTTCCTGAAACCCGATTCAGTGGTGTAAACACTCTAGAGCGCTCTCTGTTGGTTAACACCTGTCTACAGTTGCACAGCACACAACTTCCACATTAACTGTCTTCTGCGATTGCAGGGAATGAAGTTATTACAGTGAAAACACCAGCGTTTGCCGAGTCTGTCACAGAGGGAGACGTCAGGTGGGAGAAAGGTAAGTTCATCAGGTGTGCAGGACAGACGTCTCGCCCCATTGGACCCCGTTAACCCTGTTCTGTGTGTCTTTAGCTGTTGGAGACACAGTCTCTGAAGATGAGGTCGTCTGTGAAATTGAGACCGATAAGGTAAGAAGCACACTTTTTTTTATCTTAATCAGGGATTTCTATAAATACTGTAACTTTTCAAGGCTGAAAGTTGTAACTTGGAGTTTAATTGTTGATCTGTGTGCACGATCATCAGACGCGCGTCTTTGGCCATTGTGTAGCATCTAGGGCTGTAAAAAAAAATTTGAATTTCGAATATATTCGTCGAATTAAAATTCGAAATGTTTTTTTGAATTCGACGAATATTCGAAATTCACATTTTAAAAAAAAAATGTCAAAGTAATTTAAGGTCTGCGTCAGCCGTCAGGCAGCCTTATCAGCAGCGCACGAGATGCGATGACGATGTAAGTGTCGTTGCATTTGAATGCTTTTGTTAGTCTATACAGTTGAAGCCACTAGATGCGGCGCTGCTGCGTTGTTCATTCAAAATATTGTGGAAAAAGAGAACATCAATGCAGAGATAATGTTGTTTACGTCAAAACTGAAACCAAGCCGTTCACACAGAACACATATTTATCACATTTTCTAGAGGGATATCTATCAGCGTTGCACTCGCGTCTCGCACAAGAGAGCCGCATGTTTAGAAATTAATGTAAGTTCAACTTTTAAAAAACATGTCTAAAGACGTTATGGCGGTTTTCCCATCCCGCTGTATCTCATGTTTTTAAATGAAGAAAGTAGCCTACTCTTTGTGATTGGTTTTCGGTCCTTTGTATTAAACTATACATACATGCATTGTGCTGTTTTTTTTTCTAATTGTTTAAGCAACTTTATTAATTATATATGGTTTATAAACATTATTTTGAACATTATGCACTTTTTTCAAAGATAGTCATGTTATTTTATTATGCTTTGAAGAAACGTGCATTAGTAATATTTTGCTCGATGCGCCCTCTTGTGGCCTCAGGAGACAAGCCAAAAGCTTTTTTCCCCCCTAACTGAAATTATGCCTTTTAAATTGGAATATAATTAGAATTTTGATAATATTTAAGTAGAAAATTCGAATTTAGTTTTTCAGTCATTTTGACAGCCCTAGTAGCATCTCACTGTTTGAGCATTGCATTAAAATGTGTCAAGCTAAAAATAGTTCAACCTTTAATAACATGTCTCTGGACACCTGGCTGTTTTTGATAGCGAGAACGTGTCCTATTTCAGCTACCCCTAAGAAACTCGTCTGGTGAACATGACGCTAAATCGGTCTAATACAACAGGGCCTCCTTAAGATCATCCCGAACACTGGACTGAATTGTTATTGAACCTCAAGGATGTAAGACCTTGGGTTTAGTTTGTGGATCAAAACTCGATTTTGGAAATGTATGCAGTTTAATCTGACAAGTAGTTGGCTAAATAGGGTTTAAGTAATAATTGTTCTCTAAATTGATTAATCACATTTTCATGCCCAGTGTGCTCAAAATAACAGTGTGCACAATTTAAGTCTACATATTCTATTCCAAACGTGTACAAAAATGTACCTAAAAACCTTCAGTTTGAGCACAGCTAGAGGGTATCTGCAGGAACAATGTCGCCGCATCTGAAATTGACATCCATATTATACAGTATGTGAAAAACAGTACACAAAAAGAGTTGAATATCTAAATTCATAGTATTCAAAAAACAGTTGGTGAAAAATACCTGGATGACCTTAACCGAATAGTATGTACCATATAGAAAGTTAATATACAAACATAATTTGTGCTGATATATTTACTTCAAGTTTCAGTTATGGTTCATTTTAAACAGAAATTTGATGTTTAACAATATTGTTTTGATAAATGTTTGTCGTCCTCCTCTTCTGATTGATGTTCTGACTAGTCAATTATAATAAAAATACTTTTTTCCCATTATTTGTTTATTTGCAGTTTTTTGAATTAGTAGTTGTAGCCCGAGCGAAATCCTTAAAAACCTCTGCTGCGTTTGTTAGGTGCTACATGTGTGTGTGTGTGTGTGTGTGTGTGTGTGTGAGAGAGAGAGAGCGTGTGTGTGAGAGAGAGAGAGAGAGCGTGTGTGTGAGAGAGAGAGAGAGAGCGTGTGTGTGAGAGAGAGAGAGAGAGCGTGTGTGTGAGAGAGAGAGAGAGAGCGTGTGTGTGAGAGAGAGAGAGAGAGCGTGTGTGTGAGAGAGAGAGAGAGAGCGTGTGTGTGAGAGAGAGAGAGAGAGCGTGTGTGTGAGAGAGAGAGAGAGAGCGTGTGTGTGAGAGAGAGAGAGAGAGCGTGTGTGTGAGAGAGAGAGAGAGAGCGTGTGTGTGAGAGAGAGAGAGAGAGCGTGTGTGTGAGAGAGAGAGAGAGAGCGTGTGTGTGAGAGAGAGAGAGAGAGCGTGTGTGTGAGAGAGAGAGAGAGAGCGTGTGTGTGAGAGAGAGAGAGAGAGCGTGTGTGTGAGAGAGAGAGAGAGAGCGTGTGTGTGAGAGAGAGAGAGAGAGCGTGTGTGTGAGAGAGAGAGAGAGAGCGTGTGTGTGAGAGAGAGAGAGAGAGCGTGTGTGTGAGAGAGAGAGAGAGAGCGTGTGTGTGAGAG